AAATAAATATTGATATGAACAATGAGACCAATTCTGATATGTTTAATGATAATGATTCTGAATTGGAAATTGATATAGATAATGAGAATGGAGCTGTTGAAATGAATATTGGTAATTCATTTAATAATTGGAATACTGTTCAACGTGTAGTTGATTCATATTTGAAACAACATGGATTTGTTGCAAGAAAATGTCGAAAAGAACTTGATGTTGTTAATAAGTCTATCATTCGTCGTTATGTTTATAGTTGCTGGAAATCTGGAATGAATAAACCAAAAAAAGTAGACAATATTAATGTATATTGTGATAGTGTTTCAACTAAAACAAATTGTCCGTGGCATGTCAATTTCTATTTTGGAAAACAAACAGGTGTTATTCGTCTTACTAAACTTGTTAATGAACATAATCATCCATGTGATACTGAAACTATAGAATTGGCTCCAAAAAACCTTCGCTTTTCAAAGTCAGTTTTAGACAAGATTGAACATTATACTATTAATGGTCGATTGAGAGCTGGGCAACAATATGATCTTCTCATGACTGAATTTTCTCAGTGTCATATTAAAAAGAAAAATTTGTATAATACAATTAATAAGTTTCATGATGTTAGAATTCATGATAACTCAGATGCAGCTACATTACTTTTAGATCTTTTGAAACATTGTGATGAGGATCCTGACTATATAGTTAATCCACATTTGGAAGGACCATCTAACGAACTTACAGAACTCTTTTGGATGACTAGCCAGCAACGTAATGAACTCTGGCTTAAATTTCATGATGTTGTTATCCATGACAATACAGCAAAAACCAATCGATATGAAATGGCTCTCAGTTTGTTTGTTAGTATTGATAATGACTTTAAAACAAGAATTCTTGCTCAAGCACTAACAAAATATGAAACACAAGCTGATTATGAATGGATTTTACATTGTACATTGGAAGCAACTAATAATCTGTCACCTTTAGTATTGTTTACAGATGGAGATCCAGCAATGATTGCTGCTGTTTATGTAGTATACCCTCGAATACGTCATTTGCTATGCATTTATCATATAATTAAGAATATAAAAAAGAAGGCCAGATCTAAATTACGTGGTGAAATGGCTAAGAGTTTTATTGAGAACTTTTACCATATGCGAAACAGTTATACTCAAGATCAGTTTGAATCAAGGTATAATAATATGCTCATAAAATATGAACAGTGTTGTTCTTATCTTAAAAGATTACATTCTAACTGTGAATCTTGGGCAAGATATTCTACTATGAAGGTATTTACAGCAGGTGTAAAATCAACCCAACATGTTGAATTTATCAATGGAGTTCTTAAGAAGCATTTGGATCGGAATACTTTGTTAAAAGAGCTAGGAAAAGTAATTGAACAAGAATTAGAAAAGGAGTCACAATATACCAGAATTAAGGATTATTATGGATCAAATCCATCATCTGGCCTTTCATCAACCTATACTACAATCTTTAAAGATATTGATTCTGTATTAAAAGATTATTTATCACCTATTCCATTATCTCTTCAACGAGCTCAAATGAAGCAAGCTTTATTATACCAGGGTGCTTTAATTACAAAAGATCAGGTGAGTTAGTTTTAAAGTTAATGCATTGTAATGAAGTTGCGTTAGAATTAGGGTTAGGATAGGGGATTAGGAAAAAAAAACTAATTGGTGAAGTTGCGTTAAAATTAGGGTTAGGATAGGGGATTAGAAAAAAAAAAACTCATTGGTGAAGTTGCGTTAGAATTAGGGTTAGGGTTAGGGTTAGGGTTAGGAAAAAAAACTCATTGGTGAAGTTGCGTTAGAATTAGGGTGATTATGAAAGAGAAATTAATCAATCATATTTTATTTCTTCTTTTTTATAGGTTAATAAAACTAATATTATGTCTAATGGTATTGTTAAGCATATGTATGATATGCCTCAAATTCGATTATGTGACCTTTACTTGATATATCTGAGTATGACATTCAAGAAATTTGGGAAGTTTCTTATATTTTAACAACTTCAACATCCAAACCTCATTATGTTGTAGTTTTAACAGATTCAACATCACTTTGTATATGTATATTGATTATTAATCAAGGAATACTATGTCGGCATCAATATCAGATTTTCCTTCAATCTGCCAAAGCAATTTTTCATTTGGATTTTATTCATATGCGTTGGTTTAACATAGTACTATCTGTGAAAACAATAGACAATATTATAATATCTCAAGGTGTTCAAAGTAATTTATTACCATTACACTATATTGATCAATTTAGAACTGCTAGTGTTTATACAGAAAATATCAGGGAAAATGTCAATAAAATGATCAAATTTGGTACTACGATGTCAGTTGCAAAGACAAGTGTACAAATTGCAGTGTCAGAAAATACTACATCTGAATTAATTAGAATTCTCTCCCAATTTATTATGAAATATCGCCAAGGTACTGGATTAGATGTAGAAGATACAGAAGAGATTCATAATGAGATTAGGTCACCAAAAAGACAACCCTTGAGTGATTTAAATTCAAATTATAATAATTCTGAGATATCTAATCCTGAATATCATAGAGCAAAAGGTAGATCACCAAAACGATATAAATCATCAGTAGAACAGAATACTAGCAAATCTACTACTTCATTCAAAACATGCAGTTATTGCTTAGGTAGGGGACATAATATTCGTGAGTGTGCAAAGTATAAATCAGACAAAGAAAATTAATATTTAAAAATGTAATTGATATAATTGATATTTAGTTAGCATTTAAAAATGTATTAACGTTAACAATTGTAAATTTCTGAATTTAATGTGAGTAAAAATTAAGAAAATGGTAAAATCATATGATTCAGCCACACTGCTACACACCGGTAAAAATCATCACCGGTTATAAATAGCAAACTTGTAAGAATTAAAACAAAATTTCAAAAACTTCAACAATTGGTAGAAAATAAAAAATATCAAACCCAAGAAATTACTGCTCAAATAGAAGTAAAAGTTAATTATTTTGTTTTACTACTATGAGAGAATTACTCTACACTATTTTGAAGTTAGAAGAATGACATAGCAGTAATTCTACTTGTGTTTTTTGCTTTGGTTTAAAAAAAGCAGTATACCAAATTAGAATACGAAATAAAGTAACTGGTGAAATGATTGAAAGTGATAAGGTTTGTGAGAGTTGTAAAGAAAGTTTGAAAATGATGAATTGCCTAATAGCAGTTGTAAAAGATTAAAGACTAGATACACTTATGATTGTAAAGAAGAAGGAAATGAAAAGAAACTTTCCAATTTGCTTTAGGAAAAAGAGAGTATGTCTACTTTTTATGAAAGGCAAATAAATTCTTTAAGAGAAGAGTTAGCTATTACAGAGGAAGCCCTAGAAGTTGAAAGAGAAAAAGTAGCTAAATTTCAAGAAAAATCTGAAGAGTAAAGTAAAAAACAGAAATAAGAGTTATTAGATAAGATAAAAAGTTTAGAAGAGAAAATTAATCATTTAAAAGAAGAAAACAGGAAATTAAAAGATCAACAAAATGATCAAATTGTTTAAATTGAAGTCAAAGAGACTAAAAGATGATCTTGATTAAAAATAAAAAAGTAATTGAGAAAAATTTTTCTGTATAGACTAATTCATTCTAATTATCCAAAAAATGGTATTTATTTTCCTTTTAAAGGTTTTTGCTTTTATTAAATAATAATGTATCATCATAATGCTTTCTTTTTCCAATATTTATTATTTTTCTTTCTTGGTAAATTTCATAAGTAATCCTTTCTTTTCTTAAATAAGCTTTCAGTGTCTGAGTATTATTTATTTTAAAAATTTAAGAAGCAATTTTTTCATCTTGTTTCTTTTTTAGAATACTTTTAATGATGCTGTAATTTTTGGATTTCATAATAGATCTGATATAAATGAGTTTTATATTAACTATTTTTATATAAAGGTAATTCTATATATTACTTAAGATAACAAATGGGATATTATAAAATTATTAATAATTATAATCACATTATGAAATGACTAAATTTTGATTCCTGAAATCCTTTGGTAATCTCAATGTTCACTTTGTCTGGTTTTGTTGCAGTATACCCTATATGAGATAATATTTATTGTATACTTATTAGTAAAACCTAAATTATTATAATTTATTTGCTTTCTTTTTTCATATATTATAATATTTAAGCATAATTAATATTAATTAATTAATTAATTTTATATATATATACTTGTATATTTAAATAGTAAAAGTAATTTTATAGAATAACAGTTATTATATTTTTTATTAAAATATATAATAGCTAATAGAAAATAATATTATCTTTTGGTTAATATTATATGGACGTTTTGCAGTAGAAAATGAGGAAACTACCAAAAATATTTTTTTTTTTACTTTATAAGCTAAATATTATTAAAATCAATAATTACTTAAATTTTTTACATATTATGAATGTTTGTTTTATGTAAATAACTAATAAAAAGTATCATATATTTTTATTATGAGGTGAATACATAGATAGGTATTAGAGAATCAAAAGTAGTAATATCAGATGATAAAATTTTCACTGAACTTCAATGTCGGTCTGTTCATTTTGTGCTTCCTTAAGTGGTAAAGGCATCAAAGTTAAAAATGTTCTTTTATACCTTATTACTACTTTCATCGAATGACTTTCTGTCCTTTAAGGATAGTTAAATAATTTACAATGTGTTTATTGACAGAGCTTGATTAATATTCTAAACTAGAACTATTTTTAACTTTATTCTAACGTGCTTTACCGAATAATAGAAGAATTATCACTTCTATTTGTAGCACCGGCCGAAAATTTCCAAATAAATCTTCGAACATTTGATTATCTTGTAACTTGATATAACGCATAACGCGTTAGACCTAGAGAAAAACCTTATTACAATTATTTGTGTGTAACATCATGTACGATTATTTTCATCAATACCAGGATCTCGGAACAATCAACCTTTGAGAATCTTTAATTCCCATACTTTTTACATTAAACAAATGTGCAAGGAAAAATCTAAAGTCGATCCACCAATAATTCTGCCTTTTGCACCTATTGAAGACGAGCCAATGTCGTCTTTGAAAGTTGAAAAAGCTAAAATTACTTCAACTGATACTTCACCTCCAATACCGTCACTTGTCAGTGAGGAGAAACCCAAAGATATAGTTTTACAACCTACTGGAATTACCGGGAGTGCTGAAGAAAGAAACCTGACGTGAGTTTGTAATGCCTTACATAAGTGAAGGAAAAAAAAAAAATCTTGTCACACGTGTCCTAAAACCGTTGCCGCTTAAACTCCATAAGATTTTATTTTTAAATTGTAACAAATTTTATAGATCCATTTTAATAAAAATTTAACTATCCATTACGATTTTTGGTATTATCAACTAAAATTAGACGACATCACCCCGGTCACTTTCGCGATGATCCGGTAGCTTTTATGATACAAATGGGCGCCTTCTATCAAGGAACGGTAAGTCTGATCTTTTGCTCTCGATTGATAGATCAACTATTAAGCAATTTTAACGTTTTAATTTTGAATTATAGGGTTGGAGAAGTTACAAAAATTATATAGGAACAAGGATATTATACGAGGGATATACAGAAGAAGTAAAAGAACGGGTTCTTAATAGTGAACGCGGTAAAACTAATAATAATTATAAACAACAGTCTGCATTATATTTTACATCTATAATTAACATATAATAATGATTAAATTATAATGTAGTTCTTTACATGATTGCTTATCTGGCCGAAAAGCAGGCCAACCAACTTGCACAATCAATACCAAATGTTACATCAAAGATGATTGCAAAAAGGAAAAAACTACTAGAAAAGGAATTACAAGCTGTTGCAAATGGGATGGTTGATAAATTAGTTGCAGACCTTAATAGTTTGCGGTTTATTAGGTTTGTTATAACTCGATCAATTTAATAATTGCGTTAAGAGGGAAGTGTTCATCTTTGTTTTTTCTTTTTAGACTTTTCGGCTTTTTTGTAAATAATATACTAGTAAGAATGTATCATCAAGGAATTCACATATCAGAACGCGAGTTTCTTGAGGCAAGATCAATTAAACTTTTATGTTTCGATAAGATACTTTCTTTATAACAAATAACATATATCATATATGTATGATTTATTTGACCTTTTAGATTCGTCGAATAGCTGTTATTGCTGCTCAAAATTCACAATCTCTTATTATCCTTCCATGTCACAAATCTCATATTGATTATCTCGTCATATCATATATATTTTTCCGGTTGGGACTTGCTCTTCCACATATTGCCGCAGGCGATAATCTTGATCTACCAATTGTTGGTAGAATACTTAAGCAAGGTGGTGCATTTTATATTCGGCGTTCTTGGGGAGAAGATCAACTATACGGTAGTGTGGTAAAAGAATATGTTGAGGGCTTATTGGAACGTGGTCATAATGTTGAATGTTTCATAGAAGGTACAAGAAGTAGAACTGGAAAATTGCTACCACCAAAGTTAGGTGTTCTAAAAATTATATTAGAATGCATACTCTCGGAAAGGGCAAAAGATTGTTGGATTGTTCCTATGTCCATTCAATATGATAAAGTAATCGAGACGGAAACCTATGTTAATGAACTGTTAGGAAATCCCAAAGAGAGAGAAAGTTTATGGGGTATAGTCACCAATACAAGATTATTACAGCTTAAATGGGGTCGAATTGATGGTAACATATTATTTATAATTTTCCGTTTTTTTTATTACAGAATGTTAATTTATCAACATTTGATTTATATAAAATCTTTTTTAGTGCGATTTGCCAAGCCATATTCGCTCAAAGGGTTTATTGAAGAACAGATTGTGAGGAGAAAGTAATTGTCTAATTTACATTATTTATTTCGGTATTTAAAGAGTAATTCACATTTTGAAATACTGCAGGTCTTTTGATCCAAATAATGATCAGCAAAAGGTTACTTTGTTGAGAGCCCTTGCCTATCAGTATGTATTATCACATAATAAATCTATCCATTGACTTTTTATTTTTTTTTTGTTTTGATAATATACATCATACCAACTTATTTAATATCGAATCGTTTTTAGGGTTATGTCAGACATTGTGAGTATTTGACCTACATTAGAAAATTTTATTAAGGAAGTCATCGTGTGACATTTTAATGTTAATCATCTTACCATTAATAACAATAATTAGAATTCCGTTTCGGTAGTAATGCCGACTGCTCTTGGTATATATATATATATATATTTGATGGATATAGTATCAATGTATTTTTCTAACGATTTAAAATAATTATTTATTTAAGTTGGTACCGTAATATTAACGTTACGTGGTCGAGTAAGTTCTTAGGTTGACTAGTCCTTAATTAACGATAAATTTATAATTATTTAAATTAACCAAATAACATTTATAGGGAGTTGGTAGAAAGGAGTTAATTAGACGTGTAGAATGGTTAAGAGCCGCGATTTTAGCTAAGGGAGGACGAGTAGCAGATTTCAGTGGCATGAGCATTGGAGACATCGTTGATAGGTAAATTATAATTTTGTTAACATATTTCTTACATAATAAGGTACAATTATTTCTAATTGAAATTTTAAATATAGAGCGATCAATGTATTAAAGGATTTGATTAAAGAACGAAAAGAGTTGCTGGAGCCAGTTTTTTATGCAGAAAAAAGATTTGAATTAAGTTTTTACCGCAATCAGGTAAATATACTTGGTGTATATGTTATTTATATTAATTAGAACTAATTCAATTATCATTGATATTAAACAAGGTGATGCATTTATTTGTATCAGAAGGTATGTGCTTTGTTCATATGTTTGTATTTCTATTCAATGGTGTGGAAATTACAATTGTCTTTTTTTTTAAAAAAACTTTATCGACTTTATAAGCTATTATATCTGCAGCAATGTATACAAAAATAAAACAGGGGGGAGCAAAATCAACACAACGACTTCATATATCTACACTTTTGGATGAAGTGTCATTTTTATCTCAGTTGTTAAAGGTTGAATTTGTATATCAACCTGGTGAGATCGATACAAATTTGGAAAATACGATCAAAGGATTAATAGTATGTTTAAAATTGTTTATAATTGTAATTATAAAGTTTCATTTATCTAATATTAAATAAACATACAGGATGATCAAGTCATGGAACTCGTAGATAGTTATGTTCAATTGTCTGATAGGGAAAGAGCAATTGGACGAGAGAATTATGGTAAGAAGGTTTATTTATATATTTAAAAAAAAAATTTTTTTTTAATATTAACTATACGATTTAATTTAATGTCACAAGACTTTTACTGCTTCCTAATATGGCCTTTTATTGAAACATATTGGTTAGCTGGTAAGTAATGTTATATGAACTAGAAAAAAATTTATGATTCTTTGTTGTATATTAATTTTTAATCATGAAATATTATAATTATACAGCCGTCAGTCTATTCTCGATGACGCCAACTAATCCTCCACAACCCACAACAACAAATGTAAACAAAACTGCAGCAAAAGAATCTGTTCCTATTACATGGTTCAATGAACGAGATTTTCATAATAAATGTCAATTATTTGGTAAAACGTTATATTATGAAGGAGATTTATCATATTTTGAAGCTATAAATAAGGAAACTTTAAAAAATGCATTTATTAGGTTGGAAGAAGTGGGACTAATAATGGTAAAACGTAGTCGAAACACAAAAGTAATGCCAACAGTTGCGTTACATCCTGACTATGTACCAACAAGAAATTCAGAAGGAGCAATAGAAACAAAGGGTAAATTATGGGATCTAGTTGAGAGGATTGGTAAATTTCGTAGAGAAGGGAAAAATCGTAGAGATAATGCTACAGTAAGTTCGCGTGTCTTAAGATTAGCTGAAATGGTGGGTGCACCTACTACGGCTGACGTCGTTGTGATGACTAATTTAATGAGTAGACCAGTTAAAGCTGGTAAACTGGAAGCAAAACTTTAATTAAGTGAGAGAATTTTAATCGAGTGAGTAATTTCTCATCTGATTAACCTCATATTCAAAAATCAAAAAAAATTATTCATGTATTTATAGATTGAATTATTAATTTTTCCACTTTTAAAAAAAAAGTATAATTTTTTAAGTTAATAAAAAAAATATTTGCAAACGTAAATTTCGGTAGCGAGAGAAGAAAATTAAAATTTTTATATATGAAGGAAATGATGATATTGATGATATACAACGTAATGAATCCAAATGTCCTTTTGTTATTCGACCAAAGAAAATATAAAGAAAAGAAAAGATAAGAAAAAAAAAAAAGTTTTTTTTTTTTTTTTTGCATAAATATCAAATAGATGCAAATAAAATATATAAACAGAGAAGACAATTGATCGTTTTAATAAATCAATTGTCTTAAAAAATGGCACAATATACAAAAAGTTCAGTAAATTTTAACATAAAAATCTTTGATATGATATATCAAATTAGGGATAATATATATATATATAATATATACATATATTAAATAAATAAATAAGATAAAATTAAAATTTTTTTTAAAATTTACAAAGAAAAAATTTGAACCTTCAACGCAAGTAAAAAAAAAATTTCAGCATTCAGAAGAATTTTTAGCATATTTAGCTAATAATTCTTCACGTTTCTTTTCCCATTTTCTCCATTCACCATTGCCAAGGCTATTATTATGAGAGCTCATAGCGTAATCAGTTGGAACGCCAGGAGTATCATTCACCCATAACATTGAAGGTTGATTAGGAGCTCCATAGCCATACATATATTCTTCAGCACCATTACGCCAATTTCTACCACCACCATATTGCATAGCATTGACGGTTCCAGAACTCAAAGTTCTACCTCTTCTTTCAAAAGGTCGGTTTCGATTATAATTATAAAAGGAAGCGCGCCTAAAGTGTTGTGTTGCGAGAGTATCATTACCTAATAAAGGGGTTCTTTCATCATCAGATGAACCTCTTATTCTACAACATCGACAAATACAACAACAGAGACAAAGTAATATTGAAATAAATAGTATTCCAACAAGTGCTGAAATTAAAGATATAAGGGCCTGCTTATGGGTAACTGTCATTTAACATGATTTAAATTAAATATCTAAAAAGTTAATTTCTCGATCGGATTTGATTAAGGGAGATTGTTTCAAAAGTTATTATTCTAAATAGATGTTCACTTACCAAAACATTGAGCATACTCATATTCCCAATTATCGTTTAGGCATAAACTTGAGTTCTTGAACGGTTCATTCCAACTACCTTGTACGCATAAATTGTCCTATTTATATGATATAATTAGTACAAACGAAACGAAAAAATTTAAAAGGTAAAGGGAAAAAAAATACTTACCTTTACACAAAAACCACATTCCAAACGACTAGTACAATCTCCACAGGAAGTAAAAGTAGAACAATTTATTGATTCTATATTCAAGAAAGAGGGAGGGTTGTGTAAAAAAAAAATATATATATATATATATCTAGACAGTATTTATTCTAGCTAAAGTTTATAATATACCTGTAACGTTACTCTGAGCAAAATTTGTGTGCGCGTTCAGTAAATTTAACGCAAAAAGAATGCTAAAATGTGAAAAAGGTCTTTTTTGCAAGGACATAATTCAAAAAAAAAAAATTATCAGGTTTAACTTGAAGTAATTTTATTAATAAATTAGTTTCTGAATTTCAAAGGACCTTTACAAAAGAAACCTTATGAATTAAGTGAGCCAAAAATAAATAGAAACAGCTTATATATTAAAAAGAAAGTCGGAAGAAAAAAAAAAAAAAAAAAAATTTAGTGTGTGGGATAAAAGAAAATCAGGGGCTTTGGTTGGATTAAGCTTTTTAATTAAATTATATATATATAAAAAAAATTATTATTATTATTAATTTTTTTTTTTTTACAGGAAAATTTCTTGTTTGTAAAAGTTCAGTGTCATAACAAAATTAACCCCCGATGATTTTCAGTATTTTAATATGCAACAATCATTTTGGAGTTCAAGTAATACAGTCGATATTTGAGGAGGTTGATTATAAGATGAACAACATGCATTATCAATAAATAAAAATTTGGGATTTCATTATAAAAAACTCCCACGTGAGAGATTTACGAGGATCAAATGTTTCGATAAAAAAAATTCTTTAACGTCATATTACCTTTTATAAACGCCAAAACTTTTTTTTTTTCCTTATCTTATAATTCTTTCAAAAAAAAAAAAAAAAAAAAAAAAATAATAAGTTTTATTTGAAAAGAACCTTTTATTATTTTATGACCAAATAGTAATACATACAGGAAATTCTTCTTTCAGAGTTACTTTTTTAATCATTCAATGATTAAAAATTACGAAGATATAATTTTCGAAAATCTCCTATCAAGAATTGATTCTTTTTTTTTTTCATTTACATTCTAACTTCCATATTTCGAACGTTCATTCATCTATTTCTTTCAAACATTCGAAAACATATCATGTTAATTTTATCAAAAGGAAGGGATTATTTATTTTCCCAAACATGGTTAATATGAGCGTGAGTGTGCAGAAAAGTTTATTTTAAAATTGCAGCCAAAATTCATTACTATTTTGTTTCATATATTATGTATATATAATATCAAAACAAGGAGACTAATTAAAAGACTGCGTAATTAAGTGATAATGAAATTCACGTGATAAAACAATAGTCTTCTTGCGCACAGAATGTAATTGGTGCAAACATCAAATTCTGCAAGTCTTAAAAAGTATGATAAATTAAATACATTTCTAAGAACGTCATATTATAAATATTTATTAAAAAATATTTATTAAATATAAATAACCGAAATTTATCCAACAAAAATTTTGATAGGATCTTTTATTTATTTATAAACTATAATTCGAAGTATAAATTCGTTCACGATCTTATCTGATACTAATATAGAGGTTTTTTTAATACACCTTAGATTTGGGATGGAGAATTTTTTTTTTTTAAAAAAAATAAATAATAATTTACATAATTTTATAATGATAAGTTTTATTTAGTTTATTTCAAATATGAATGTCTTTTCGAACGAAAAGACAATATTTATAAGTGTGATTTCAAATCTTTCAAAGTCATATGGGAAGATTGCTAGGAAAATCAGGCTCTGAGAATTTTGTTAAAAAGTTCCCGGAGCCTGATTTTCTAGCAATCTTCCCATTTATCATTTAGTTATAAATATAAACTCGGGCCATGTAGTTTTTTATAGCTTCATTATATTAGATCAAATTATGATGGGATTAAAACCACGTTACTCGTAAACTCGATTTAATAGCAAACCAAAAAACGAAATTAAAACCAAGTAAACAGCGCATATGAAAAGTTAAGAAGCGGAGGTGAAGTTTGAGAAAAATTGGGAAGAGAGGCTATTTGAGCTTTGGAAAGGAAGGTAGGAAAGACGCGAATGATTAACAAGAAGAAATAGTTGGAAGATAAATGGGAACAGGTGAATATTTACAAAAGGCATTAGTTGAATTTAATAAAAAGGTAATGAACAAACAAATTGCTTAAAAGAATATATTGTTTAACTACCTTGTGATTTTTCTTTCTGTTGTCTCTATCATTGGTTCCAATTTTTATGATAAGTTAAACAATTTCGCGTTTTCAAACCTAAACTGCTTTTCTCACGGTCACTTTACAGAGTTTGAAAATTTGCAGGAGAAAATTAATGAATTGACTTCAAATTATATCATTAAATATTGACAGGCGAAAACAAAGCTGGAGAACCCCTTTTCACAACCGCAGGTTTGTTATCAAATACTGATTTTATTTATATAAGTTGTTATACTAATTGTTATTTTATTAGAATTGGACAGACTTTACAAATTGACTATAAAGATAATGATAAATTCATAGGTGACTGACTGTTTGTCGGCTTTGTTGGTTAATAAAAACAAAACAAACGTAGGATTTAGAGAATTCGCGGAGCATTTTTGATCTTAAACAATACTCATATGGTATACTCACAGATACATGATAAATCCGTAAGCATGATGAAAACATAAATAAGGATTTCTTTTATTCTAATTAAAGGCACAACCATTCTTTAATAGCAACACTCAATTGTTTAAGGTTTTTTATGTGTCTTTTTAAATAACAGAATATGCTCATTTAAGTTTTTATAAGGCTTTTGAACAACTACCATGGAAAGAAAACAATTTTGAATATTATATTGTTCAATTCGGTCAACCTCTTTGGGGTTCATATGTAGAAGATTAAATCAGATTTCAAGATATAATTGTTTTGTAAAACATAAACTTCTTGGTGGTATTAGCCTTGTTCGGATCTGATTTGTTAATAAAGGAATCAAAGAAAGTGGTAGTTACCCAAAAGGATCGCTTGTGTTACTTTAGATCTGAGAACTCGCAATATTACAGTGTTTGTAGCATAACATAATGAATTACGTTTTGCTACCAATTGTAGAAAGATGATATCCAAGAAGTTTAAATTCCAAGAAGGATGTAAATTTTAGCAGGTAAAATACAAGAATGCATTTACCTTATTCCATTTAGCAAAAGCAGTTGAAACTCAGAAAATAGCATGATAAACATTCAAAAAGATGTTAAATAAGAAAAAAGGATTAAAAGTACAATATTTCAATGCTGTAAACTTTAATAAAAATATTGCAAAACTTAAATGGATTTTAGAAATCCTTTATGTTATATAAAATGAAACTATAAATGATTTGCTTTAAAAATCATAAAATTTTAAAATGAAATTTCATTCTAAAAAATTCTTAACAATTTATATTTTAATTTATATATAAAGTTAAAAAATTAAATTCAAAATTGATTTTGAAGTTAAAATAAAAAAATCAAATTAAAATAATATCATATTTATATAATTTATCATATATAAAAAAATTTAAAAAAATAAAAATATAACATTTTTGCAAGAATTTTTCTAACTATAACTGGAGGTGATTGTCACTGCATCACGTAATACTATCAAATTTAAATTTAGTGTTAAAAAATTAAAAATGTATTATTTCAAACTAATTAAACGAATTAAGATCAATAAAAAGCATGATGTATGTATTAAATTTGAATTGCAATACACTCTGTGAAATATTTTTATAAGGCTACGGTGACCAAAAGGAGCCTAACTAATTAAAGAATATTTGAATTATAACAAGTTAAACAGACTCTGCTTTGTATTATTGATGCTGCTTTGTGCATTTTCTAGCATTATGACCAGGTTCTCTACAGACTTTGCATATATATTTTCGTTTGTTACTATTTTTGTCAGTATTGGATTTCTCATTAGTGAATATTTCATTAGAATTGAGAGTTTTTAGTGCAAATGAACTTTGTAAATGTTGCATCACTTGTGTATTTGTATTATAAGACTGTTGTGTGTAAGGATATAAATTTGGATCAAGTGGATTAATTGCACTATTAGTACTTCTATAATGCAAACTACACAATTGAAGAGATTTATGTGTCATAGATACATAATTTTTCTAGATAGTCAATGGCGTTATGAGATATATTGATCACTTGAGTTAAAATCAGATTGCCAAAAAAGTTATATTTAAATATACTACGTCATATAATTTCATCTTCAGTTTCAATACATTTACAACGTAAAAAAAATTTAAGTGATATTGCATATTGATTAATTTTTGTCTTTGCATCTTCCCATAATAAAAAAGTATTACTTACGTTAATTTGAATAGTTTTAAATTCATTATTTTGTTGTTGTTCTTCATTTTCTTTGTTATTTTGTTGTTGTTCTTTATACAGAAAATCTGCTATATTCATTTTATTTCAATTGTCTTCAATAAAAAAATTAAAATAGAAACATAAAATATAACTCTCTCTCTTAAGAAAGTATAATACTTACTATCCATACTTATATAAAATAAGACAAACAGTATGTAAAATGAGAGTATAGGAGGCAAATGTCATAAAAAAAGAGAAAGGAGAGAAAAAGGATATAATTCAGTATAAGAAGGATAAAGGATAAAAAAGCTAAAAAAAGCTTAAATTAGTTAATTTATCATGATTATTATATTACATATACATATGGTATAATGATACATATGATACTGGTGATGTTAATCACCTGTTATTATAAGTAATTACTTTTTTACAAATATTATTTCAATTTTCATAAAATAATTATTATTTAATTCTCTTAATTTAAGTTAATAAATTAAGAAAATCATTGATTTCTAATTAGTAAATACTAGTAATTCAAAAAAAAAACTTATATAATTCTTTAGTTTAACTTGCATAATTATAAATTTTCATTTAATTATAATCTAATTTAATAAAAAATACTTTAAAATTAAAGTTTTAATTTATAGTTCTATTTAATTAAACTTATTAAGAGTTTTAGTAAATATTAAAATATCTATAATTATATTTTATAAAATCAGAATTTTTAAATTTAAATAAAATTTAATTAAAATATACCATAAATAGCTGACTAAAATATCTAGAATAATACAAATTTCATAAAATTTGCAAAATATTATTTTAAAAAAAAATACTAACTTTATAATTTAAGTTTCCTTTAAATTATACAAATAATATAATGATATTCAAAATTTATTATTATCATGATTTTTTTAAAATTCTATATATTATTTTATTTGCAAATAGCTTGTATATGGGTATAAATATGAGAGGGTATTATATTATGAGAATAATTTAGTTAATTATTTACAGTAATTCTGATTAAAATAAAAATAAAAAAAATCAAATCAAAATAATTTTGATTAATAAAAAAATTAATTATAATATTTTAATTAATATTATTAATCTAATGTAAAAATTTTAAAAACTTTAAATATCTTTTTATAAAAGCAATATTACTTTTAATAAACTTTTATTTTACTTAAACCATTATTATAAAAAAAATATACTTATACTAAATTAATTAATTATAAATACTTGTTTTTTTTTTATTTTATATAAAAATTAACTTTAAATGTGAGATTTTTTATTATAATACTTTGTATGATTTATAATTCATAATATATATATTAGAGTTTTAAAAGTATTAGATTAATTCAATTATTTGATTAAGCTAATCTAAAATTTTTTTGAATTGAATCAGATTAAGTAATTTATTTTAATTGACTTGATCTAATTAATTTAAAAGTATTTAAGTTAATAATTACTTCATATAAATTAAATAATCAAAAAATTTTATTTTTTATTTAAATTATTTAATAAAAATAATAATATATTTAATTAGAATAATAGTAAAACATTTTTCTTAATTAATAATAAATTATTTTTTATTTATATTATTTAATTAAAATAATAAAAATAAAGAAGAAATAATAATAAAAAATAATATTTGAAATAATAATAAAAATTTATTTGAAAAATAATAATGAAAAATTATATTTGAATAAATAATATGAAAAAAGTTAAATAAATATAACTCAAAAATAATTAAACAGAGGTTTAGATAAATAAACAAAATAATATATGAGAAAAAAAATGAAATAAAGAATATAATTGAAAAATAAAAATAATGAATTGAGAATATGAATAAAGAAATAATTAAATAATAGAAGATAAAAAAAATAACTATGAAAGAAATATTAAGACTTTTATAAAGGAATTTTTAAAATAAAAAAGTATCAAAACCTTTACAAAAGAAGTATTAGAATGAAGTATTTTCACAAAATGAGTATAAACTTTCATAAAGAAAATATTAATATCACTTTTATAAAAAGAGTATTAAACTTTCACAAAGGAAGTATTAAAATCTTTATAAAAAAAACATTAAAACTTTCACAAGAAATTATTAGTATCATTTTTATAAAGGGAATATTAGTATTACCTTCATAAAAGAATTTTAATATCATTATAAAAAAATATTAAATTCAAATAGTTTTAGTTTTGGCTGTGATATTAGCTATAATATTATTAATATGTAATTTTTGCGAACTACAACTGTTAGACGTGGTGTTTGAGTAGTTTATTCTTTTTAATTGAGTAGTAATCTTTTAACGGTTTACAAGTTTTACTTTAAACTGATTATCAAAAACGTTTATGCAATTATCACGAAGAAGAGTTCAACTGAGTTCAAAATTTAGTTTGGTAAAATAACAGGTTTATTCACAAGTAAGATAATAAAAATAAAATAAAAGAAAAGAAAAGAAAAGAAAAGAGACGAAATACTAAAAACTAAAATGTAACGTAATAGGCTAGTTGCCTCTAAAATTACTGAAAAACCAATTTGTTGAATCTCTATCTGTCTACTTTTACATGAACTAAAAAGCTATCTTTTTATATAAAATAAATTATATAGAGAAATATAACTAACATATCTACTATATCAACTATGTCTAATATGTCAGTTATGTCTAATATGTCAACTATGTTTAATATGTCAGTTATGTCACATATGTCTGACATATTATATATATTATTTATATCAAATTAGTCAATTTTTTGTGCTACATAAGTTGTGTTACATTTACCTGTTTACAATATTAGTATTAATATTAATGTTAGCATTAGCTTTAATATTATCAGAAACACAGATGTGTACTTTTGTATATTTTTAATATTCTTGAAAATATAAAATTTTTTAAAAATTTTTAATAATTAAAAGAAAAATAGTTGAATATTTATAGATTTATAAATTAACATATACAATTTCTTTCATTTTATCAACATATCATAGTTTGTAATAAGTTTTATAAAGAAAAAAATAATATCATATATATGTAAGTTCTTAGACTAAAAAGTTAACAACTATTTATAGAAATATGTATGATCCATAATCAAAATTAAATATCTTAGCCAAACTATTTTAAAAATTCTTTGCTAAAAAGATTATTTTATGTAAATTATTTTTTTTTGATTTTTTGAGTTTGTGTTTACAGTTATTTTCAAAGATAATATTTATTTTAGATCAAGTTTTCAGTTATAATTATATTAATAGTAATTATTAATATTTCTAATTTAGTAATTTTCTGATAATTATTGATAATTATAATTAAAATAATAACAAAAAAATTAATATTTTAGAAATTTATTTAAAAAAATTAGAATTTCTCTTATATTAAAATGTTTTTATATTACTGTCTTTATCTATAGTAATTTTTTTTTTCTATTTATTTTTTTTTTCTAATATTTGTATAAAATCTTATAAAATAAACCTTAATATATTGATAAGATCTTAGATAATAATATATAAATCTCATAAAATCTTATAATATTCTAGATTAACCTTATAAAAAACTCTTAATCTACTTTAAATAATCATTAAGGTTTTAAATTATTATAATAAACTTTACAAAAATTCCTTAGCATTTCTCAAATATCTAGGCTGCAACATATAAATCTTATAAAAAAAGCCCTCAATATATTTCTGATAATCAATAAGATTTTAAATAGTAGCATAATTTACTTTCTTAATTTCGCTTGAATGTTTCTAAAAAATGATCATAAAATATGTCATTATAATTACTTCATCAATTCGCATTTAAGTAATTAGCGAGATCTCTATATATTTTTTTAGATATGATTTTTTATAAATGTATTTTACATTTTGAGGTCATAATGTTATTAATTATCACGTGGTAAAAGATTACAAAAAAAAAAATTGAAAATTCAGTTCAACAAAAATGATCATTTGTTTACCATCCAACCAAGTCTTTAAAAAACGAATCATTAGATAAAACAGAGCTAACATCACTTTCAATTCCATTAAAATCAACTAAAGAATCAAGACCTTTACTAGGATCTAATACCAACATTGAAGATGATAAGAGATCATAAGCAATATTCATTAATACAGTGGGTGAAGGACTTGATATGCCTTTAAGTTCACATATCTTGTTATATTTTCTTATAACCTATAAATAAAGAATATTTAGTAAAAATTTACGATATAAAAATTATATATCGAATACCATTACTTACATCCTTTAACTCGATTTCAAATTTTCCATTTTTCTTCAATAATAATAAGGCATAAAGAAATACTTTAACTTGTAGAGAACTTCTACTAATATATTTCTTCCAAGGAGTATTTGTTTTTCTTATAGCCTCTAGAACCATTTGTATAGTAACACGACTATTTACCGATACTAATTTATTTTTTACTTGTGCCTCAAGAACTCCTACTGCATATCTAAAAAAAAGGCAGAGGATTAATTATTTATACTATTATCATTCCGAATAGTTTAAAGTAATTACCTGCAAATAAACAGAGCATTTCTTGCGTCTTGTGAAATAGCGCTCACTTTTCTTGCAGTAAATTCAACAGCTTCCCTTGCAAATAGATCAATATTTTCAAGCCGAGATTTCAAAATAATAAAAAGTTGTTCATGAGTATACGGTTCAAAATCCAATCTTTCCAGTCCTAAAAATAAAAAATTAACATATATTTATAACGGAATTCACCATATTTATAGTATATATTACCAACCAAATTTGCTCTCTTGACTTTTAGTTAATAATGAATGTGGTAATCGAATTTCATTCGTCAAAGAAATCAAAACGAATCCAGAATTTGGTAAAGCGGTCCATTCCAAAAGATTACTAAATACTATACTTTTTTTGGTGATAAGTGAGTCAAACTCATCTATCATGAAGACACTATTAAAAAAAAAAAAAAAAAAATGAATCGAATGACATCGCGTTAATAAATAAATGTTAAGAACAATATATCATAAAAAAAAAAAAAATTTTTTTACTAACATTGAAACTCGTTGATCTTTATCATGAAATGTTTCATTCAATAAAGATTCTGCGTCTTTATAAGAAATTCGATCACCGGTTAAACCCTCCCATAAGACACTATACACTTTTTCGGGAGGTTTAACTTCCATTCCATTAATTTCAACAAATTCGAAAGAATTCAATTCCTACTTTGATTAATCAAATCAATTCAACTGATTTAGCTAGTTTCCAAACGAAAAAAAAAAAATTATCTTTACCCGTTTAAATGCTTTTTCATTTAAATTTTTAATAACTTGTCGTACAGTAGCAGTTTTACCAGTGCCAGGTTGACCAGATATAAAAATACGACGTCCTTTAAATTCATCAATTGAATCTTTAATTTTATCATAAACTTGACCGTATTCTTTTTCACGACAAGGAAAATTTACAGGAACTTCTTCAAGTCTCAATTTCTCTCTTGCAATATCATATCTTGATAAAGGTTTATTTGTAGGTTTAATCCGATTATTTATATTTGATAATAAACGACCTGACCTTTTCCTATTTCACGTATTTAAAGAGGTATTAGATATATATATATACATAAAATGATAGAAAGAAAAGAACCTTTAAAAAATTTACCTTATTGAGGGTGGTGTAACTATTTGTATAGGATCTTGTAAATCCGGTAGTTTGTTCTTAGGAGTAATTATAACGATCGGGTATGTTTCTTTAGGCGTTATATCCTCATCAGTGTCAGTGTCTTCAGTACAAGTTGAAACTGTAATTCTTTTATTGCGTTTTGGAGTGCTAAGAGTAGCGCTTTTATTACTTCTTTTATTTCGTTTAGGTGTAAAAAGAACGCGTCTTTTCCTTTTAGGCGTGCATTTTTCTTCATATAATTCGTCCTCAAGATCCGTTTCTTCTAATTCATATTCTTCATTGCTTTCATTCCTTTTATTTCTTGGCATGGTAATACGCATTTATTTTAAATAATTTACTCTAATATTTATTTATAGTGAAAGAATTTCAATGCAAGGTATTAAAGTTTAGAATTTAAAAAAATTCTAAAGTGGACCATCATTTAATTTGACGCGTTTTTGTTTCGGAAATTTTAATTCGTTATCAGCTAATGGTAATCACATGGCAAATTTTGAAATAAATAAATAATTTTTTATCCCTCCGAACTTTTATTATTAAAGGTACAAATAGTACATTACTACAGCATTACAATAAAAAAAAAAAAAAAAAACTATAATAGGGTAATAAAATTAAAAATTATTATTATTTTTTTTTTTTTTCTTTCTAACAACATTTGCCACCCGTTTGTTTTTCATCAGGCATGGCAGTGACTTGAATAGTTTCACCAGCAGTAGGTCTAGCAACTTCTCCAGTATTATTTTCCAAAGCTTTATTCGAAACAATACGGTATATTTCTATTAAAAGAGAAAAAAAAAAAAAAAAATATGTAAATATAATTGATCCTACTATATTAAAAATATAAAGATTTGTTAAAAAGTTTTTACCGGTCAAAATGTTTTGGAAAGCGAGTTCTACATTGCTGGCATCCAATGCAGAAGTTTCAATAAATGACAAGTTGTTTTCAGCTAATATAAAAGAGCAAAAATGATTAATTAATTTGTAAATTTAACAAAACACCAACTAAATCAAAAAAATTTCTTTACCAGCAAATTGTTTGGCTTCTTCGGTCGGTACAGCTCTCAAATGCCTTAAATCACTTTTGTTTCCAACAAGCATAATAACGATATTACTATCAGCATGATCTCTTAATTCCTTTAACCAACGATTGACGTTTTCATAAGTAACATGTTTAGCGATGTCGTAAACGAGTAAAGCACCAACTGCTCCGCGATAATAACTGCGATTAACAATAAGATCATTCGATATCATTAATTTATCTTCGAGTATAAATTAATTGATTTCATGAAAGCATTAAGTTTTGAAATACTTACGCGCTTGTAATAGCTCGATAACGTTCTTGACCAGCTAATAAATAGAATTAAATAGAAAATTCAATATAATTGATTTGATTATAAAAAAAAATTTAATAAATATTATTTTAGTTACCAGTATCCCAGATTTGGGCTTTGATAGTCTTGTTATCTACTTGAATACTTCTAGTAGCAAATTCAACACCAATGGTTGACTTTGACTCCAAATTGAACTCATTACGTGTGAAACGCGAAAGAAGATTGGATTTACCAACCCCCGAGTCTCCAATTAAGACAACTATTATAAAATATTAATCCATTTAGATTTTGAGATTTCTACTTAAAAAATAAATTACCATCTTAACTCTGCATAAAAATTTCTTATTCATAATAAAACTATGTATTTAAATACATCAAGATGCTCATGTTCAAAATATTAACGACTCAGATGACAGGTCTTTGTTATTTGTAAATTTGCCACAGTAGTAGTAACTCGCCATATATAATCTCCTCAAAAAAAAAAAAGGTAGTATTACTTACCTTTAAAAAGGTAATCATATTCGTCGTCTTTACTCATCTTTATGAATTAAACTGTGCAAGTTTATATATCGAGCTAATAATTGTACTTTACAAGTAAACGAAACTTCGTTACAAAGGTATTTCACGTAAACGTAAAGTCCAGAAATAGTAGCTTAAGAGGCTGAATTGTTCTAAAAAGTTTCGAATTTATATCATTACCTAGTTAAGATTAGCCTGTGGTTTGTACTTTAGAAACACGACATTTGAACACAACTTGTGTAATAAATTATAGATTAAACTTTAATAATTAGAAATTTATAAAATTATTCCATCGCATATATCTACTTTTCTACTTATGAAATTATGTAATTACAAATTATACTTATATTATTTTTTTATTGATTTAATGTAGCTTGGCAATTCTTCTTGAATTTTTTTGTAAATATAATACCGTTCAGTAAGACGTTTAAATTGATTAAGTAGTTTATTTGCCGCCAAAGGAATTTCGGTTCCTGATTCATTATAATTTGTTGCATTCCAATGTATTAAATCAATGTCTGCCTTGATCGCCTAAAAGTGTATAAGGTTCAATAAATAAAAGAAAAAAGGTAGGTACAAAGTTATAGAATTTTTATAATTACCCTTAAAGAGCGATACCAATTGTTTTGTATACGTGCTTCAATCATTCGAAGGCACATCGGATATGGAATTTTTGGAAGATAATCAATTATTTCAGTGAAGTTGACGTGATTTACAAACCAATCGAAATCAACTTCGTTAATAAGTTCAGAAATGATATTACTCATGGTCATTTTATCTACAAAAAAAAAAAAGTCTTTAAAATTTTGAGGGGAGAAAAAAATGAGAACACGGGAGCAATATTTATTTATTATATACCTTCTTCTCCATAAGTTTTACTATCGACCAAATCTTGTTCATTTTCACGTTTCAATTCCCAGCTATGTAATGTGTCTTGAGTATTTTCTGGATCATTAGGTTCGTCCCTAAACATTAATTTGTATTTTTATTTTAATTAACGTATGTAATTTATACAAATAATAAATAATAAACTTACCAATTAACTGTGTAAGTTTGCCATGGAGACCAGTCGTTAGCTGTTTTATCTTTGTTTATTTGAACAATAGTCCCAGAATATGGTGTATTATCATATGTAGCAAATACTTTTTCGTCAATTCCTAGTCTTTTGTTAAGACCTGCTGCTACCCGATCATAAAGTACAATAAAGTCTCCCATATTCATATAATCGTAATAGTATATAGTAACTTTGGATGTGGCCCTTCTATCAAACACGGGATCTATCGGCAAAAGTTGGTTATTGTTTTGATAATCTTGAAGATTCAATGTTTTTGCTGTAATCTTTACAAAAGGTTTATTTTTGTCTCCTCGAGTCCATTCAACATCATCAATGAGACAATATAAGATATTGTCTATAGCTTTTTTATAAGTTGACGACCTATTCCACGCGTGATCCTTATGAAGTGTTGGATCACCAGGTCCCAAAGTTTGAAGTAAAACAGAATTGTCTGCATCATGATAACACCTTCGAAGCATTTCTTTATGCCCGTTTATGAAATAAATAATAACATCCCCAATCTGAGGGTGATACGGAGATGCTTGTGGTCTAATCATTTTAATCCATTCTGGACGAGTATCATCTTCTGGATATGCGGTATCCATTGAATCTGAAAGTGTCGCCCTAACTTGTTCCGAACCTCCCGAACCTCCCAATTTCTCATAATCTTGTTCAAGATCGTCTTCCATAAAACTTTCATCATCACCTCCATAATTTCCATGTGTATCTTCACATGGTGACACTTCATGTTGTGACGAGGATACAACATAAGGAGAATCAATATTATTTTGCGATTCTTCTTGCTCTGAATCCTCTTGATATTCCGAACCGCTTGGTGACTTTGGTGTTCTAGCACGTCTACTACTAGTATCAAATGAAGCGTGATCATTTTCTATAAAGCTATCTTCTTCTGAAGAAGTAGTTTCGCTTTCTCCATAATTTATACGTCTTTTGACACGTCTCAAAGGACGTGAACTTGGACCCGCAATACCGTAGTCATTACTTGGTTCCACATACTCATCATTCTCGCCATCAGATAATTCGACACGAGAACGCTTCCTTTTCTTCTTATTTTTATGATTGGTACTCGAAACGCCGCCTGCAGCAAAACGTCTGTCTTTCTGTGCCTTTTTTTCGGCTTTCTTTTGTCTTCTTGTCTTGACTCCATAATCACTGTCCAAGTCAGGAGAATTTACGACGGATATTGGAATTGTGTCAATTTCCATAAAGTCAATTTCTTCGGTGCTATCAGGAGTTCCTTCACGATCAGAAAGGCCAGGAATATAATCTTCATCATCGCTATCGTCTTGTAGTGGGAAGCTTGTTTCGTCAAGTAAAACGGGGTCAACATACTCGTACTCATCTTCAATGATAATTCTTCTTCTTCGTTTGGTCACATCTTTCTTGTCCATAAGATGTTTGACGAGACTTCCATACTTGATTTCTTCGACCTCTTCGACGAGAATATCTCTCTTCCAATTATCTTCTTGCCATTCTTGTACTTCAGGAATACCAGTACTGATAGCCTTAACTAATTGGTTAAAAAAAATATTAAGTAAATACATCATGATATTAACACGTGATCACGAAGTTCTTATTTAACCTACGATGACTTTGAGTTGTTTGTTTGGGATAAGGAGCACCTCCCCAATTTACTACTTCACGAGGAATACTTGAATTCTGCGGAGTCCCTGAATTAACGTTAATTAAAACTCTTCTTTCTTCGTCAAAAGTGTATTCCTCGTAATCATCATAGTCGCTTCTGAATTTTTGCCCATGAATAGCTCGATCCTGAAATTTTTCATATGATGCGGTTTGGTCGATGCCAATTAAATGGCATTTACCGGCATTGTCTGTAACCGCAAACATGGACCCTAAATTGTAATCAAAAGTATTATTAATAAGTTAAAATTAATAACAAACCTTATATATTCGTGGTATGATAAATTACTTGCCATCATCTCTGAATTTGCCATCATGGAACTTGAGATCTAAATTTTCATCGATAAAATTTAAACTCGAACGATCCCATGCTGAATAAAAGAAGTAAAGAGTTAGTAAATGGTAATTATCAATTGCTATAAAAATTTAAAAGAATTCATACTTTTGACATTTCTGCCATCTTGTATATCCCACATCGATATCTTGCCATCATATCCTGCGGACATTATGGTACGCCAATCATGAGGATGTATATCCAGTACATAGAGATCGTTTGAATGAGCATGAATTTCAATCTTGAGTTCACCATTTTGAGAATCATATACTCGGATATTTCCTTTATTGTCGCCAAGTACAACAAGTGCATCATCAGCACTCCAGCGCATTGCGGTAACTCTGCAATCAGATTCTGGTGTCTTATCAGAGACGACCAATGTAATGGAAGTCCATTGTTGTTTTAAATAATTGTATCTCCAAATACGGGCAGTACCATCATCAGATCCTGATAAAAGACGATTATCTCCATGAGCAAATTCAAGACTGTTCACAGTCCTGAAGTGACCATCCAAATCTGATATATGAAAAGGACCGAATAATTTGGAAACGTCATTCTTTTTATTGTCTTTTTTATCGGTTTGTCCCGCATTCGGATTCGAAATCTCATGATTTGTAGAACTTTTATTGTCCTTCTCCGCTTTTTTTACTGAACGCCTCTTTTCTTCTATCTGCTGTGTTTTTGTCTGAATGGGTTGAAGCGCCTGAGAGCGAACTTGAGAACGATCTGGTGTATGAGCCTGCGAAATAACAATGTTTTGTGACGGTATGTTGTTTTGTTGTTCATTAGATGGTGGTGACATCGGACCAAAACTGAAACTACTGCCAACACTATATGCATCCTCATCACTGTCAATGTCTGCAGTATTATTATGTAATGGTGAACTTGGACCATAAGGTATTATCGGTGAGGCTGAAATCTTTGTAGATCCGACATTTATAGGAGATTCGATGATATTTGACTCGGTATATCTGGGAGAGCCAGTAAATAATGATTTCTCCTGGTTGTGAGATGGTTCCGAACCAACCGAAATACGACGAACCGAAATGGAACTTTTGCGCTTATTCTCTTCTTTTTCTTCATCTTTTTCTTCGCGGGCCACGAAAGGGCGGGGCATTACAACGTCCAGAATGTCGATTTCTTCTTCATCTTCATCTGATCTACCTTTTTCACCGCTTTCTAAAACATTAGTATCACCGCTCCCTTCTTTTTTCTCTTCGGTAACCTTACAATCTTCAAGGGCGATCGTTGAGAAGACTCGAATTAAACCGTCTGTCCCTGAGACGGCGAAAAGTGAACCAGTGTGATTGAATGCAGAACACTTCATTCGTACTCTGCCGACAGCGTTAATGGGCTTGATCTTATTTAACTCGCCAAAGGAAGTAGTGCCTTGGATTCGTTCATATTTTGCGATCCACGTGTACCAGTTATCGGAAGTGGTAACAATATACCTGTTCTCGATCAACGGACTTGGAGAAAACGCAATGGATGTGACCGCGTCATCCTAATTATTAATAAGAAAAAAGTTTTTATATTGAGTTAAAAAAAAAATATAAAAAATGCAAAAGAGAAATCAAATCAAGAACTAAATATTGTAAATTACCATTCTCAAACAATTAACGACTTGATATTTCTCCAGGTCCCAAACCAAAACTGTAGTATCCTCCGACGCCGTTGCTAATAGGTAACCATCTTTGCTGATGGCCATGTCCGAAATCACTGACCTATGTCCCTGGAGGGATCTCAACAGGATACCAGTACCCGTACACCAAACTTTAGCGAGTCGATCATCGCTTCCCTACATATAATAAATAATTAATACACAATTTAAATGAATGTAAAAAACATAAAATAAATAAAATTATTTTATCACACCGTGATGACTCTTTTCCCTGTTCTGTCAAAAAGGACGCAATATGTGGTGGTATTGTGACCATCCAACGTGGTTAACTAATAAAATAATTTAAAAATAAAAATTATAAAAGGAATTCATGACAATTATAATAACAATAAACATACCTGCTTAAAATCGTTATATATGACCCTTATGGGTTGCGAGCTCTTAATCCTACCTCCACCTAGTTCTCGGGAGACGACAGCAGCGGCTATTATTATAAATAAGAATAAATAATTAAATAAAAAATAGATAATATATAGAATGATTACAAATTATAATTTCTAACCAGGATTTTGATCAACAAGGCCAGCAAGCAATCTTGATGGCGCATGCTGTGCTAGGCCTAGCTTTGCCCGTCGAGCATCAATTTCCGGACATTTTGACGTTTCGGACTGGTATAAATTTTCTCTTATTTTGCCGACGTTTAACGGGCGACATGGTAAACGGACCTATATGAATGTCACGTGAAAAAGATCATGTGATTATAAGTCATGTGAATGAGTCATTTAAACGTCGTTCATGAAGAGTTTTTTTTTATAAAAAGTTTCTTCGCCACGTGACATCCAGAAGAAGCAAAAAAAAAAAAATAAAATATGAAAATACACGAAAGAATTGAATGAATAACTCACCAGCTCATCGTAGGTTTGCAAGTGAGTATTTCCTTCGAAATCAGTTCTAAGGGGAAGCAACTCTGGATGGTCTGTCAGATCTTTTACCAAGGCCTGATGTGCCCTTTGTGTTTGCGGGAATTTTTGAAGGAATCGCGCAACTTGGAACATAGCCTCTGCAAGATGTTTAAAAAAGAAAGGGTGTGAAAAAAATATGTTAATACGTGCAAGATGAAAGAATATGTCTAATAAATAAAAAAAAATGGTATTTGTCGCGCTATATAGAAGGAAAAATGTTATAAAAGTAAGAAGTGAAACGCTTTGAAAATGTTACCGAAATCGAGAACAAAAGTGAAGACCAAGTACAATCATTTTGAAAGCGAAGTAAGCAAAACAATATCATCATGTAATATAAAATATATTAAGAGAGAGTGTGTATATCATATATACATGTATATATACATACATACATATAAATTGTTGTCAAAGAAGATTCGAACCATTTGTTGAATCTCAATCAGGATGTTTTGGATTTGTAGTTTATCATTTTTTTTTTAAAAAAAAATGAATAACACAATAAATACATACCACGTTCGAGGTTTGTTAATTCATTTTTAACGTTAAATTTTTGTTGTTCGCTCATTTTGGTTTATAGATTCTTCCAATGGTACTTTATATGTTATTTATTATAATAGAATAAACGACGTCTGAAAAATCTGAAAAAGTTTTTTTACGAAAATCTTGTAAAACTTGTTATATAAACCACAAATTTCGATTTTTTAGCCGGGATCTTTTTCGGAAATTTAACCTGGTGAATTATCCGATAAATAAAATTTTATACCTAATCGGAAAGATTATCGGGTTAATTTTTTCAATTTTAATTATAATAATTTATAAAAATTGAACTAATATAAAAATGTATATATAAACCAAATTATTATAAATTAACAATATATATATTATAAACTATTTTGCAAATATTAAAAATTAATTATATATAAATATATATATATATATATATATATTATTAAATGTAATGATATTTTTATTAATAATACCTGATAAAATTTAGAATTTTAATATTTTTTTTTAAAATTTAAAATTGATTTAATTTTATTAATATACTTTAGCACTAATTAATTTGATGATATCAAAATTAATTACATCAATTTAACATTTATTATAAATTATTAATAAAATAATTATATTTGATAAAACACAATTCATTTGTCAAAATATAATTTAATTAATTGTTCATCAGCTTACATCAAAGTATATTTATTAATTTTAAAAAACTTAAGTTTAATTAAAAATATTTTATAATAAATAGTTTAATTACAAATATATTAATATTTAAATTATTAAAAAAATAATTAAAAAGTATTTTAGATAGTAAGATACCACATGCGATATAATTATATCGCATGTGATATCCCACTTACTTTAGATTATAGTATCATATATAATCTAAATATCACATATAATTTAAGTATCACATATAATCTAAATGTCACATATAATCTGAGTATTACAGTCAACTCTTGATATAGCGAACTCTTGATATAATGAATTTTTTGAATAAATATAATAAAAATACTCTTATTAT